AAAAAAACCCAACAAAGGTGTTATTTCAAATTGCAAACAAGTAACAAGTACTTCTAAATGATATTTCACACTGTTTTGAGATGTATGGTAACATATTGAAAGTGTTTGCAAATGCTAAAAAGTAATTTATGCTACCTTGATCTCCCTCAATCATGTTATATTAAGGGTGGTACCGGACATCATGTATAACATTTCTGACTGTAATTGTTCGTAAAAGCAGTATTGACACAATTTCTGATTTATTTGAATTAAAAAAACTCATTGAAGGGAGAAAAGAGAAGAACTTTCATTAGTACAGTATTTAAGACCAAAGAAGATACTACTGGTAAGGAGGGGGAAGGTTGACGAAGAGTGGTGGATCCTGTGGGTTAGCAGCTGGTTACAGAGCAGGCATTGACAGCAGGGACATGGCTTGTATGACCCTCTTTGAGGTTTGAGGAATGCTGGGAAGGGACAGCATCCACCTGACCAAGTGGGGCAAAAGCATCTTTGCCAAGACCAAGTGGGGCAAAAGCATCTTTGCCGAGACCAAGTGGGGCAAAAGCATCTTTGCCAAGACCAAGTGGGGCAAAAGCATCTTTGCCAAGACCAAGTGGGGCAAAAGCATCTTTGCCGAGACCAAGTGGGGCAAAAGCATCTTTGCCAAGACCAAGTGGGGCAAAAGCATCTGTGCCAACAGTCTGGCCAAACTGCTGTGGAGAGCTTTAGACTAGGACTGAGAGAGGAAGGAGCTGATGACTCAAAAATTGAGAGGAAAAAGTGGTGGACTGGGTTGCTAAGCAAAGGATGCAGGATGGTACGGAGCAGAGACCTTGAAAACAACTAAACAAGGTAGAAAAGGGCTCACACAAGCATATAAACACAAACAAGGAAATACTTGTACAGAGGTAATGGCACCAGCATTATGAGAGAGAAGCTCTTATACCTCTTCTGGGAAATTGGCACACTAGGGTGTGCAGCATGGGGGAAAAAGTGACAAAGTAGGGGGCTGTATGAAGTTGCAGAGCAACGATTTCATTGGGATAACAAAGATGTGATGGCATAGCTCGTACAAATTTGTCTGCTCCCATGGATGGATGCAGGCCTTTTAGAAGGACTGGCTGGGATAGTGAGGAGGGGACTTGCTCTTAAGTGGAGGAGCAGCAGGGATACCTGGAGGTCTGACATGGGATTGGTAATCTGAGAGTTTGTGGGTAATGACTAGAGGGCAGAGCAACAGGGGTGATGTTGTTGTAGGTGTCTGCTCTAGATAGCCTTGACCATGAAGGAGTAGAAGATAATGCCTTCTTCAGAGAATGGGAGGAATCTTCCAGGTACTGGTCCTGTAGGGTACTTCAGCTACCCCGGCTATCTTCTGAAGAGACAACACAGCAGGGCACAAGCAATCCAGGAGACTTTTTGTGTGCTTTGATGGCATTTTCCTAACACAAGTGATTGAGGAGATGATGAGGAGAGATGCTCTGCTGGCCCTCGGACTTGAAAACAAGGAAGAACTGAGCAGTGATGTGAAGGCTGTGCAGCCTTTCCTGCAGTGACTGTTGTATGGTGGAATTCAGGATCCTGAGAGAAGGCAATGAGGCAAGTAGCAGGTTTGTAATCCTAGACTTCAGGAGAGTAGGCTTTGGCTTGATCAGGCCTCAGCTTGGAAGAATCCTATGGGATATGGCCTTTTAGAGAAGAGGGGTCTGGGAAAGCTGGTTGACTTTCAAGGATCACTTCCTCCAAGCTCGAGAACAATCCTGATGTACAGGGATGAACGCTGAGCTCATGGCTAAGCTCAAACATGGAAAGGAAGTATGCAAGAGGCGGAAGCGAGGTCAGGTCGCCCAGGAGGAATATGAAGAAACTGTCTTGAGTATGCAGGGGTAGCATTAGGAAAGCCAAAGCCTGCCTGGAGTTCAGTGTGACGCAGAACGTGATTGGCAACAAGAAGACCTTCTGCAAATATATCAACAGCAAATATGTTATGACAGAAAACACGGGCCTAGTGCTGGCTGGGACAGTAGACTTTGGCAAAGAACATGGGAAAGACCAAGGTATTGATGCTGCCTTTCCCTTGGTCTTGATGGATAAAGTTTGTCTTCAGAAATCCCAGGTTCCTGAGACTGGCAGGAGAGTCTGCAGCAAGGAATGCTTATCCTCCGTGGAAGACTGTCATGTTAGGGAACATTTAAATAAATTGTAGATGCACAAGTCCATGAGTCCTGATGGGATGCACTCACTAGTGCTGAGGGAGTGGCCAGTGTTGTTGTGAGGTCACTCTTTTTGGCCACTCTCATTCTGTCTTTCAAAGGTCATGGCCACCAGGGAAGGTTACTGAGGACTTCAGAAGTCAAGTGTTATGTCTGTCTTTGAGAAGTGAGAGTATGAGAACTAAAGCTTCTCAGCCTCCCTTTGATCCCTGAGGAGGTAATAAAGCAAATAACCCTGGAAACTAAATCCAAAGATATTAAAGACAAGGTAGGTTTGGGAGTAGTTAGCTTGGGTTTGTGAAGGGACAGTCATGCTTGACCGACTCGATAGCATTGTACAATGAAAAGACTAGCTTGGAGATCAAAGGAAGGAGTCGATAATGTTTATCTTCACTTTAGCAAGACTTTCAGCACTGTCTGCCATAAGATCCTCATAGACAAACTGATGAAGTGTGGACTAGATAAGTGAGCAGCAAGGTGGACTAAAAACTGGCTGTGGTGCTGAGCTCAGACTGTTGTGATTAGTGGCACAAAGTCCAGCTGGAGACTGGTCACTAGTGATGTGTCCCAGGAGCTGATACTGGTGCCAGTGTTATTTAGCATCTTCATTAATGATTGGAAGATGGAAGAGGATGCACCCTCAGCAAGTTTGCAGATGGTACAAAACTTGGAGTGGCAGCTACATCAGGTAGTTGTGTTGTCATTCAGAGGGACCTCTACAGGCTGGAGAAGCTGGTCCACAGGAATCTTATGCAGGTCAGCAAAGGAAAGCGCCAGTATTCCTGAGGAGGAATAAGCCCAGGCACCGGTACATGCTGGAGGCTGTCCACTTGGAAGACAGTTTGGCAGAATAAGACCTGGGGGTCCTGGAGATCATTAAGTTGACCATATGCCAGCAGTGAGCCCTTGGGGCAAAGACGGCCAGCAACACCCTGGACTGCATTATGCTGAGATTCACCAGCAGGTTGACACAGGTGCTCACCTCTGCTCAGCACTGGTGAGACACTGGAGTGCTGCGTCTGGTTTTGGGTTGGCCAGTACAAGAGAGACATGGGCTTGCTGGAAGGAGTCTAGTGCAGGGCCACAAAGATGGTGAAGACACTAGACCATCCTGTCACAGAAGGAGAGGCTGAGAGAGCTGGGACTGAGTCTAGAGAAGGTTCAGGAGGCATCTTATCCAAGTGTATAAATACCTGGTGAGGAGCAATAAAGAAGGTGGAGCAAGACTCTTCTCAGTGGTGCTTGGTGAACAAACAAGAGGTGGTGAACAAATGGAATATTCCATTTAAACATAAGAAAGAAAAAAGCTATTTAAGGTGAGGATGGTCAAACACTGTCACAGTTTGCCCAGAGAGGCTGTGGAGTCTTCGTCTTTGGAGACATTCAAAACCCAGCTGAACTTGTGACTGACCAACGTGCTGTAGTTGACCCTTTTCTCAGCAGGTGAGATTGGACTAGCTGATCTCCAGAGGTCCCTTCCAGCCTCAGCTGTTTGCCCATGCTGTGAGAATAGCTCTTTCCTTTCCCAGAGGATCTTTACTTTGAGAGAAACTTCTGGTAAAAATAATGTATGATGAAATTTCCTCCAAGTGAACAGTATGCTAGGTGGGAGAGGATGTGTTTGAACAGTGGAAGTACTGCATGCTGTGCTGCTAGTGAGGTGTTCTTGAGGGATGAATCTTACTTCTTTGTTTGGGGAATTTTGGAGAAAATGTATCTCAAGTGTATGAGCTAATCTGTGTTTTATTTGCCAATGGTTAATTGTGTACTGCTTCTATACATAGGAATACTTTTGCCTTCTGATCTTCTATAGCGCATTGTGTCGGTGCAAAGCTAGAGAAGTGCAACTCCCAACTTCTGAAACTATAGAGGGAAATATTTTATCTTCAAAATATTGCTAGTAGCGGGCAATATCAATAAGTTGGTATTTAAGATTGAAAGTGAATATGAACTTTGATATGCCACCATGTGAATACGGCATTTTTAGTTCTGATTGAAAAAGTGCCTTTATTCCTTTCTGTGAAATAGTATTCTGAAGAACAGTTTAAAAGTGGAAGTAGCTTATTTAGTTGATTCTTAGTGTCTTTTCACTTGCATGTTTTCGTAAATTTCCCTTGCATACCTGTATTTGATACTTTTTGTTATTGCTTGTGATGTTTTAAGCATGAAAACCTTGCATGTAAATAGAAGAAATACGGTGTACATGATTTGTGCTGTTTTTTAACATGGTTTTAGTTGATAGAATTTAGTTTGCAGGATAAAAGTAATATGATGCAATATTTCACTCATTGTTATTTAGCTTTAGAAGTTTAAAGTTGCTTTATTAAAAAAAAAAAACAAAACAACAACAACAACTGATAATCAGAATTGAAGCTTGCTGAGTGACTGGGAATGAGATTGCTGCTGGCTCTGCTGAAGTGCCAAATCCTAATCAGGAGGTGGACATTGAAGTGAATTTATGCTGATTCCTATGTGCCCTCCTCTCCCTTCCATGTGGCCACGTCCACGTGTGGCCTTACAGTCTGTGAAACAGGGGACATGTGTTACTGGCCTTGTGACCTGGCAATGCCTTTTCCCTTTGATTAAGTATTTAACTATTATAGCAAGTTCTGGGGAATTTCTTGAAAACTGGTATGGTATCTTTTTTTTCCCCTCTAGTTTAAAAAGAACCAAAACTGTTATCCCTACCATATAAGGTGTTTTTAACTTTTTTTTTGAAGGTACTTCAGGACTTTTCTAAGACACATATTGACTTCTTATTAACTTATTCCTCTACAGGGTGTGATAGGTGTACAGTTGGTGGTTACCATGGTAATGGCTAGTGTCATACAGAAGATCATACCTCACTATTCTCTGGCTCGTTGGCTTCTCTGTAGTGGCAGGTAAGATAAGAAACAGTTCCTGCACTATGTGTGAGTATGGTAATGCAGTTATGCATTAGAGTAGTAGCAGTAAAACATACTATCGTTTGGGTTGTTTTCTTGAAAAATAATTAATCTGCTGTTCTTAAATTTATTACCATAGCATTGTGATAGGCTCAAGGTGAAAAGACAGTGTTGCTGTAAAAGAACAGGCTTGTTTGTTGCTGTTACTTGCATCAGTCATAAAGTTAACTGTTGTCCAGGACTTGTATTATTAAAGGCACAAGCTGCCATACTTCAATATTAAAAAGGTAAACTGAATGCAAGACACTATAAAGAATGGAAGGGGTGTTTTTGCCACACTGCCTCAGTGTTCTTGATAATCTACCTGCTGATTAGCTTCACATATAGAGAGTGCTTAGGTATTTATTAAAAATTCTGTTTTTTTTAATACTTCATAGGACAGGATTAGTATAAATTTCAGTACACTACTTCCTCATAACAATAGATCAAACAGACATAATGAGTTTCAAGGGGAGCATTCCCTATGTGGCTGTATCCATAATAACAATGAAAACCAGCAGCTGTTTTGAATATAAATCAGTACCTTAAATATTAAAAGAATTGTAGACACTGTTTTTTTATTTGGGAAGAAAAACACTTTGTATGATTAGAAGGTAGTGTGCTGTCTTTTGTAATTGTTAAAATTTTGAAAATACCAAATCTCTACTCCCTGATATCCGAAGGAGTATCCTTGAATAATAGTGTGCTCCATAGGAGTCTTAACCAGTCTCATATAATTGTCCATTGCCTTTTTTCCTCTGTATCTCAGAATTACCAGCTTTTTTCTTTTTAATTTTCCCCATTTCATCACCCAAAAAGTTACGAATAAAAAATAATTTTTAAATGTTGGTTAGATGCATTAGGTATCACTGGTTAGATATAGTGGAAAACAGTAATGGTTGGGTGAATAATATGAAAAGGAATCATAATTTTAATTGTTGTGTGAAGTTTCATTGTTGACCATATATGCAGAGTATTGATCACCTGTTATTGTGCTCTAAAAAAATACATTAATGAATATGAAATTGCATACCATTTATTTTTAAGGTGTGTTAGTACCAAAGTGTTTTTATCAACAGTTATTCAAATGACATTTTCTACTTTTTATGTCCTGTTTTAAAGATTTATTTAAGTGTTTATTTCAAAATTTAAATATTTAATTTCTCTTTTTAAAGAATTTATCAATATTGTGCCTGTGTTCATCATTCTTGTGAAGTTTTCACTTTCTGTGTGCTTGTTCTAAGGTATGCCTTGTGCCAATGGTATGGAGAGGTTTGCTGTTCAAATATTTTTCATAATCCTTTTCTCCTTTTATCTTTGCATACCTGCAGATTGATAAGTACATAAAACAGGATTTCTGCACTTGTGCTTATGGAATTCTGCTCCCACTGAAGTCAATGGGAGTCATCTTATTGCCTTTCATGTTAGTACTCTTGAAAATCTGATTGTTGCTTTTCAGTGTCCTTCTATTTATCTGATAACTATTTTAGTGTATTGTAATTGCAGTCATTGTAAATAACCTCCTGAATACAAGAATTATGTAAAGAGCCAGAAATAATTCTGTGTTCCAGAAATAAAAGCACATCAGAAGCTTCACTGCAACAAGAATCTGAATTTTAATGTTGGAGAGGAAAATAGTTCTTTTCTTGGTTTAGCTGGCAAACTATCTTTTATGCTAACCCATTTTCCTCAGTGCTGTCTTCTTGCCAACAGTGTTTGCTTTGACAGACCCGTGTGGGCGGGGTGGTAGAGGGTTTTATACACACGCAAGTGCACAGGCATAGGCAGACACACTCTTAAGATTTCCTAGGAAAAGTTACAGCCTGCTCCTCTTTTCTTTTGTCAATATACTTCAACTAGTCATTAGTTCCCAAAACCGTTTTTTAAGTTATTTGGCTTAAGTGTCTTCCAAGGAGTTGGGAGGCTTTTCTAAGCAAGATAGTCTGAAATGTCTACAGGTAGCCCTTGCCAAGTGGGAGGGAGGAGAAACACATTACTGGACAAGCCAGAAACTCTTCAGTGACCATTTGGTTTCAAGATGCCTGTATGGGTACGTTCAAAGTCCATGAAAAGGAAATATAGACACTTCAACATTTAAAATAATTGTTACAATAGATAGATATAAGATAATTATTCATTTACAGAATGAACAGCTGTCATTGAGTGTCGAAAAACTTTTTACTTAAATTTGTAAAGAAATGCAAACTTTTTCAATGAGTGTGGTTTTCAGAGCTTGAACAGAATTTGAATATTCATATTTATTGAAATTGATGAATTGTCATCCTAAGTATCTGCATAGGCCTTGCATTTTTAATAAAATGTTTTCTACCAGAATGTTGCTTTTGAGTTGCTCAGCTATGCTCTATTTTCAGGCCACCTCAGGAAGACAGGAGAAAACGGATGTTTTGTTGTGCATTCATTAATGACCTTCATTCAGATTAACTGGGGCGTATCTGCTCTGCTGTTGCTATTCAGACAACTTGGATATGTCAGAGTTACCGAGTAATATATTGTGGGATCTCAGTTCTAAACATATATAAGCTCAAGGAGACACAAACTGCTTTTTCTTTTTTAGTTCTGCCTGTATGAAAATGTGTGTTCGGATCTCTTGGTTTTGATATTTTAGGTGTAAGGTCTGTAGGGTTTATTAACTAAAAAATCTCCAAAACTCTTGTATGCTATTAGTTGTAATTATGAATCACTTGCAACACAATTCTGTTGCGTAATTAAGAGCAAATTGTTGTTTAAGTGTTTGATTTGTGTTCATATGTTACACAGAACATGAATTTTGTCTGTTCTGCTGTACTGGGTAATATTTCTTTGTGCAGGAAAGATTGTGAAAAATAACCTTCCAACACAGGTGATTTTCATCCTTACAGAACTACTCGTGCTACTCTGAGCATGCCAAGTTCAGATCTGTGAGGTGGTGAATGACAAAGCAGAAGACTATTTCTTTGCTTTCCTCCACTTTCTCTAGGTTGTGTGAAAGATAGGAAGAATTTAGTATCTTCAATGCAGTTTGTATTCTTGGATGAAAAGGTAGATGCTCTGGTTTCTGTGTGATTCTCAGTCTCAACAAAGTCTCTTTGCAGCAAAGTTTGCAAACAGCACATTTTTTCAGCTGGGACCACACATGCTAAAAATAAATGTGTGAAATAACTTTAACTCTTACTGATGCCTCAGAAAACCCAAAACAAAAATTCGGCCCCTCTGCTAACCACCAAAACTCCTTGTTCATGCAAAGTCTGTAGTATTTGCCATTTTCAGTTTTTGAACTGACGGTGAATTCCTTCAAGGGAAATTTTCAGCGATGGTTTGGATCTCTGTGATGTATTATTGGCTGGTACTGAAGTTCTTTGTTCTTTGCTACTGAAGAAATCCCAGTATTTGTTGGTTCTTTAGCACAGCAGTATGTACTGACACAGGTGCGTGGAACTCCATATTAACCGGTTTGTATTTGTGATATTCCTGACTTGAGCTCTTACTTATACACCAGTTTTTAAGTTATTTTAAGATGATGTCCACAGGCTCTGTGCAACTGCCTGTTTAACTGGGAGCTCTATCTGAAATGTGTTGAATTTTTTTTGCACCGTTTTTCTTCATTCTCACTTCCCTGTCTTCAGCCATGTTTATTGTAGTGTCAAGGATAGTATCAGGACAAAGGGGCAATGCCTCCTGTTTAAGATCTGCCAGGCGGGCATATGCTTGTGATACACACATTTCATTGAAATTGTACTTACTCTTACTCGTAGTCTTTATCCGGTGTCTTGCAGCACGCCATGTGATCCATGCCATCATAAGGAAAGTAGAAGATGTATAATATTGCTTGTTGTGGCTGCTTGCATTTAGGACTGTTTCTGCTTTTAGCATGAGGTTGGGTAGCAGTGGACCTCCCACAGCATTTGTTGTGTAGACAGCGTTCTGTGAAGAATGACAAAATTTTTTGTTTTTACCTGAAAGGCCATATTCTGCAAAGAGAAAGATGGGTGGACCAGACTTACACTTGGGACAGAAAGCCTCTCCAGAACAGAAAGGCTCTGTCCCAAGACTTCCACTTGGGACAGAGCTGGGAATCGAGTGTTATCAGCTGGCTTGAGGTTGTTTGGGTTTGATGTTTGTCCTCCAAATTTGCTTTGCTATATTTTTTTTTAATTGGATGTAACATAATCTTTAATTTGCCAGTGTCCTATTTGATGAGGTTTTCTTAACATGAGAAGTACTGATAATTGTGGATTCCACTATTACCCTGTGTTAACCTGCGTCACCAATCTGTGGCCTCCTACTCCAGAAAAGTACTTTCACATAAATTTCCCAAGTCTGTTCCCGTTGGGGTCCTTTGCCTCAGCATTTCAGAATGGAGATCAGAGTGACATCCTTCCTGCATCTGGACAGCAGCCCTCCCTTCTTGAATGTGGAAAAGGCCTTGTTTCAGCTACTAAAGTTCTTGACATGCATAGAGATTAAGGTAAAATGTACCATCTTGGAGACCTAACTATGTCTGGTTTTCCTCTTCAGAATTTCCTTGCCCCTGCTTGCCTTTTAAATAAATGAGCAATGGATGGTGCATTGACTTATGAAAGTGGAAAAAATTGCAGCTCAGCTACATGTAAATTAGTGATTTTTTTTAAAATAGCACTTTTTCTAGGAGAAGATATCACTGAGGAGGTGTTTAGGAAAGGAACGTTGATGTTACGATCTGCTCTGCCTAAGAAAAAAGACTGGTAATCGTTATTTTATAATAGCTATTCTGGATTCTGGAACATTACATTTTTCCAAGAGGCATAGTTACATTTATAAAATCATTTAGAATGTGGTTCTGTTGGGTAACTGTAATGGTATAATTATTCTAGTGAACTTTTTCCAATATCGGTACAACCTTGTTTGCTGTATTTGAAACTGGGAAATTTGGTGTTTTGAGAAGTGAAGGGCTTTCACTTGAATGACAAAGTAGCAAAGCTTTCTAATTATAAATAAGAATCTCATATGCTGAAGAGAACTGAAGCTTAGCTGTGGTTGTTCATTTCAAGCAGGATTGGTACTTGCACACAAGGGTATTTTGCTTAAGTGCAGCAAATCACTAGTGTCTTAGTACGCATATAAATCTGTGTTGATATGTAGGTTTTTTTTAAAAAAAAACTCTAAATTGGTAATACTGGTATTGTTTTACTTGATATTTTCTTTTTCTTTAGTTTACGGTGGTATCAGCATCCTACTGAAGAAGAACTACGTACTCTTGCAGGGAAACAAAGGGGGAAGAGCAAAAAAGATAGGTAAATACTTGTTTTAAGCTTTTTTTTTTTTTCCGGCAATATCCATGTAACAACTTTGCTAGCCAGCTTTTGTCTTTTTGTGAGTTAAAAACTGTTACTTGCATATGACTACCTTGCTTGCATTAATTTGTCACACCTATCTACCAAACTGCATTCTTTTATTTTTATCATTTGAACATGCCCAGATTGTGCAGAGCTGGATGATTTCCAGTCCACAAAATTGGTCTGTGAAATTGCTAATTTGGTGGCAAGGATTTTTCTTAGTGAGTGTATTCATTTGGATGAAATCTGAGAAAAGCAAATCTTTGGGATTGAAGCTCTTCATCTTGAAGCAAGAGAAGAAGGATTCGAGTATGTTAGTTCAACGTAGGATTACTGTGAGCCACCACTCTTACATAGCTATGAAAAAGGTAAATATGCTCCTAGGATGTATTAGGTGAGGTATTTCTAGTAGGAGAGAGGGAAACACCAATCCTGTAGGATAAGGCACTGGTGTAGAACTTTATCTGGGTTACTGTATATGGTTCACTCATGTTCAAGAAAAATGAATTTGCATGTGAACAGTTGAACAGAGGGCTGCTGGGATCATCCAGGAAACAGAAAGCCTTTCTTACAAGAGGAAGCTAAAAGAGCTCATCTTGTTTAACCTAGCAAAAAGACAACTGAGAGGGATGGGGTAGCTGTCTATCAGCTTAAGCTGGTAACAGATTTCTGACGTTCAGGCGTGAAGTTCTGGAACAGCCTTACCAGAAGTTCAACTGCGGCAAGAACCAAGACGTCTTGAGGTGGTGGAGCTGGCTATATTGATGCAAGATTTCTGAATTGTCTATGTTTAGAACAAATTAACAAACCCCTCTGACTTTCTTTTTTTGTGACATGGGAGGTTTCCTTTAGTCCTTTAGTCCTTTTTCTTTTAGTCCGGTATGAACTCTCTTATAATGCTTAATGTTTGTGTTAATCCACAAACTGCACATATTATTTGATCATTGTAATGTGATTTTTTCCTGTTTTGTAGTTCTTAAGCTACATGGTTAGCAACCTTATTTGCCACACTTTGGGGTAAAGAACTAAGTTGTTCTTTTAATATTAAATAACTTTAATTTTACGTGTTTGTTGCAATATTCTTTCAAATTCAGAAACTTGTTTTTATCTAAGTTTTCTGTAATAAGTTGAGGGAAAATAATTGTGAATAGCATTACAATTTATAACTGTCCATTTAACCAGTGGTACTTCATATATGAAGTAACTTAATTATGTAACTATAAATTTAAGTCCACCTATAGGAACCTTAAGCAGAAAAACACAGTGACATTGCCAAATAATAGTTGTACATTGCTCTTACTGCTTTTACTTAGCCTTTCCAGTCTTTTTCTGTCCCAAACAGATGTGTTCTCACTTTCGCCAGGCAATTACATACTCTCAGCTGAGTGGAAGCACGTCATCTTAATGTGTGCTGATGTATAAGCTTAAATTTTCTAATCTTTGGAAAACTGACTATGAAATTTAGTAGGAACCTGTATCGAAAGTCACCTATAAGGCGTTAAGTCCTTTTTCAGTTACTAATCTTCTACATTTAATGTTTCAGATGTGATGCTATGGTTTCATGTCTGTGCAGTCAAATTTTGTTGGTGTGATTTACTTATAATAAGATTGATACAATTGTCTTACTTTATTAACATGTAACCGAGAGAATAAAGTTGTAGGAGTTGTGGGTAGTTGTTTTTACTTGGGTAAGTGTTAATCACAGGGGCACGTGAAGTGTCAAAAGAAACCAAGAGGGTGGTGTGGAGGTTTGAATGATGCTTTCTCTGCTTTGCTCTTTTAACAACAGAATCATAGATACATTTTTTTAGTCAATAAGTACACCTCTGTCAGCTAAAGAAGAGGCTGTTGTTGGAGGAGAACTGTAAAGTAGGAATTCTTCCATTGAGTTGGTCTGGTGTACTGTTTTAAGTTGCACAAAATGGAATGCAGTGCTCGTTTGAGCCAGAGAGATGTAAAACAGATGGTGTAAGAGAAATAAGATCACATCTAGTTGATTTTCCCCGTGTCTTTTCATCATCAAGAACTTGTTTTGTCAGGCCCATAGTCTTGCAAAATGTAGTACCTGCACTTTACTTAAATACTATTCCAATTTGAACTAATTAAAAGAGAAATGACGGAAGATGATCCAAGGAACTTGCTTGACAGTTAACCTTAGCAACAGCTGCAGTGTGAACTTGAAGTCCATTTTATTCAATGTATATTATGCTGTAGGTTATAGTAGCACATGAATATTAGGCAGATTTTCCATTTCAGAATCGTTTGTGTTAAATTGTTAGGCTAATGAAAAGGCCCATAGCTACTATGAATTACTTTGAATTAAAACTGTCAATGATCCTTGGTATGTTCTGACTGTGTCTCTTGGATTATGGGTCCCCTGGGATAATTAAACTGTAGGAACACCAGATTTTGTTGAGCTGAAATGGCCTTGGTTATCAAAATGTTAATCTCGCTCAAGATGATGGTACTCCTGGTTGCACACAGTAGGAAAACATCAGAGTACAACTCGGGGCAGGGAAGCACACAGAAGCTTGCAGATACTCGAGTGACTGGGCAGTATTTGGGACTTCTTGTTTAGACGTGAGCACCTGAAATTTTGGAGTAATGCTTTGCATTCCTATCCTCGGTTGTCAGTTTGTCTATTAAAATTCATGTACTTTGGGTACAAGAAAAAAAAAAGCTTTCTACTTGTATTCTCTTCTCACACATTAGTTGAGAGGACATTCATTGATTCATTCAGGCTGGAAAAGACCTGTGAGACCATCAAGTCCAACCATCAGCCCTACTGTACCAACCCCTAAATTGTATCTCCAAAGCACCACATCTCAACAACCTTTAAACACATTAAGGGATGGTGACTCAACCACCTCCCTGGGCAGCCTGTTCCAATGTGTGACAATCCTTTCAGTGAAAAAACTTTTCCTAATGTCAAGCCTAAACCTACCCTCGTGCACCTTGAGTCTATTCCCTCTTGTTCTATCGTTAATTACTTGTGAAAAGAGACCAGCACCTACCTCTCTACAATTTCCTTCCTTAAAAATAAGTTCATGATTGATTGACCTTTTTAATGCTTATGTCCAAATAACTTGTGTTTCTAGGGAAAATCCACCTCTCCTTTTCTGATTTCAGAGGTGCTATTCTAAAATGCAGCAGAGTTTACTGTTTCCTTCTAGTCATCTAGGTGTTTTAAGTTTTGGGTTTGATTTTTTTTCTTTTAACCTAACAAAACATTTTCTGATCAGCTTTAATAACTGTTTTTTTAGTAGTGATGAGATAAGTTTTCCCCCGTTAGTAAAGGTAATCTCTCAGCCCAATTTCATATGACTTGACTTTGTTCAGGTTCTTTTGAGAGCATATTTTTTTGTTCAATTTAAAGTCTAGTGGTATGGCTTATTTTCAGAAAATGAAGATGATGATTGTCTTCATTTAGCCTGTACCCAGGGCTAAACTGTAACAGTTCCTCTGTCACCCAACGAACCCTCACCAAACAGGCAGGGGAATAGTGAAAAAGGAGAGCAGATCTGTGGGTAGAAGCGTAACAAATTTAATCAAAACACCACCAATACAAACAGAAGTACACTTAGCCGAATAAATACCCTGTTGTCACGATCTACTGGAGAGCAGTCCTCAGGAGAAGCCGGAGGAGGAGCAGGAGGAACCCCACAGGAGCTCCTTCTCTTTAGCAAACCTTCCCCCTTTATAATGACCATGACATTAAGGGATGGGCTACACCTGTAGCTAACTCAGGTCAGCTGCCCTGGCTCACTTCAGCCTGCCTGGCATGACTGGGCTGTGATTCTGTCCCAGCCAAACCAGGACAATGATGTCGATGTAGTTTCAGAGCTCCAAATGTAAACATGCCTTTTGCTCCAAATGCATCATCTTTTATGGTCTTTACATGTATCTCTGCTGTGAAAAATGATGCCTTAAAGGTGTGTTAGTTCTAACCAACAATTTGGAAAACACAGTCTTAACTTCATCTTACACGTATAAGACATAGTTCTGTTTATGCTGTATTTCAAAGCCATTTCAGTAGAACTGGAAAAGGGGAGCAATGGTGGCTAGAAGGAAGACTTCTACACAAGGATAGAGACATGTAAGGCTTACTAGTCTGGCAACAGGATGAGGGAGGGTTTTGCAACCATTATGTATCCAGTGTGCACAGAGGTTGGGTGGGGAGTAGTAAACTCGGTACTATGTTGTACAAGGAGGCAATGAATGACGTTAGTAGAGGAGATTTAAGGACTTCTCACTTTGGGACACGCATTGTGGAACTTGATGCTACTAGACACCACGCAGCTAAACAAATTCCATACTGGTTCAGAAAGGGATTAGGCAAATTCATTTAAGTTTTGAAAAATGATGGTTTCAGAAGATGTAGTCCCTGGCTCAGATTATACTCAAGTTGCTTAATGCTGGAAGACAGGAAGGGTTTAGCACTGTATGAGGGTCAACATTTGGTTGTCTTATTCCTTCCATTTGTATAAGCACATAGCTACCTGTGTGGTAGGAACAAATGAATCCGTGTGCTACTCGTTATGAAGCCCCTGTGTATTGCTGTCACACTCAGCAGCAGCAACTGAAACCTGGGACACAGCTTTGAACCCTGGTGCTGTATTGTGATGTGCTTAGCTGTGTCTGTCTCCCCAAAGAGAGCACGATGGATTATTTCTTTTCAAGATGTACTGTTTCTCTGGAATTGCTAGTAATACAGCGATAAATTTTTTTTTTTTTTTTTCATAAGCAGGGTATGAATTGAAACAAGTCTATAATATGTCTACACAAAGCGTTTTAGATTAGAAAACTGTCTTACAAGTTGTCTTTGCTTGATGGCTATTAAGATGGATCTTTCAAGGATTAGTCCAGCTCGTGTGACATACTTGCTAAGTTGTGACAAAAAGGCCTAATGCTTTTTTGTGAAATTTGGGTTTTGCTACGTTTTTCCTTATCAACCATCTTCCGAAATAGATTACTGCTTGTTGTTAATTCTAGTGAATGTTCAATAAATTAACACTGCCAACTCTGTCTATCTTTTTTACTTACTTTCAATCCAAAGACTCAGCATCCTTGTCTAGACATCAATTAAAAAGTCTCAATTTATCTTTGATTTTCTTCAAGGTAAGTTTGTATGGCAGGGTGGATATATTCTGCTCTGTAGCTGTACTCATATCACTAATCTTTGGAGACTGGGAACCTGCTAGAACACCCTGTAGCTCCCTGAATGGACAAAATCAGTGGGTTGTAGTAAATACTGGCCACCAGATCTTGCCCTAATATGTGCTCAAGATGCAGCATATAGAAGCCATTTAAACCCATACCATGGTAGTATGTCAGAGGCTTTCAAGCTAAAGCTCATACCTGGTTGTTTCTCAAGATATGAACTTGAATTAATACTTTTAGCTAACTAGATAAAAATGTTTGCATTGGGCAAAAAGATGGTCCACACTTTTCTTAAATTTGAAATGCCATTATGTATTGAAAAAGTTTGTCATATCCTTGTGTGTATTATCTATTTATTTATTTATTTTTACAGAAAATATAACGGTCATATTGAAAACAAACCGCTAACCATTCCAAAAGACATTGATCTTCATCTGGAAACAAAATCTGTGACTGAAAGGGACACTATTGGTAAGAATAAGTGGATGCAGACAATAATATATTATTTTAAATATATTTTGATTCTTTCTGTCAAGTGTTTATTTACTATGAATGCTGGAATATATATATATATTTTTTTTTAGTAGACCATAAATGAACAGGGGTACAGCTGATAATAAAGTTAAATGAGAAGGCAAGAATTAGGGCTAAGTCTCCTTTGTTGTTCCATGGGTGACATCTTAATAGCAGTGTTACGGAAAAGGATGAGTAGGTGAAATCAGCACAAAACACATCTATTGTTGTATCAGGCATTCATAGTAGTGTGAGCCAACACTGAAAGGATCACTTCATAGTCTATTTGAAATAAAGAACATAGCTTTGTACAAGAAAATGACAATTGGCAGATGTTGAAACATATACTTTCTGCTCATCTAAGGAAATGTGCTGTAGCATTGAAACCAAGACCTTTGAACCACACATCTGAAACATTGAGGTAAAATGCTTCGAAACCAAAAGTGACAGTACAGAAATAAGCAGCATTAAGTGTTTTGGAAGTTGCTATTTTTTTAAATGGTGATTTTTTGATTCCTTAATCAGTCATTGTGTTACAGAAAACACATATATGGATATATATGTACATGTGATATATATTTTCTTCCTATCTGCATTTTTATATGTATGTGTTCTATGCATAAATATAGAAAGAAAGGAAGCATAGTCCTATGCAGGAGATTTCTGAGCTTAAATTATTTGAGACAGTGTAGAAAATACCTTTAACAGAAACACAGAATTTTTTGAAGCTGGCACATAAATAAACAAAGCATTCAAAAGTTTCAATTAGTGTTATTTGTTTGAAATTGTAGTATTTAACTGTCTCCTAGAGTATTTATAGATACTGATAACAGTGTAGGGTTTAACTGTCTTTAAAAAGTTTTATATATACAAATTTTAGTTGAATCTAATCAGATAGTTACTTCAAAATAAATATAGGACTTGGAAATATCTGAGTTCGGCCAATTTTGTGTGTTTGACATCAGCTAGCTTGTAGTCAACAGACAAATGCTCAGTAATGTTTTGTGACTTTTTAACCCTGTAGGTGT